TGGAATCTGGCAGTTGAAAATGGAAGGAACTGGCTTTAGGGGGGGGAGGGTGGGAGGAGGGGCCGAAAAGAGAGTGTGAGAGAAGTTCTTACACGGGATAATGAAGATAGCTGAAGGAATGAGAGAAATAAAGCCCCAGACGGGGGCTTCTCACAAACTTATTTTAGTAGCTGCTATTTTGCTTCAGAAAGACTGTTTGTCATTGTGGGAGAGGGCGGGGTGGGAGTAGGCAAGACAAAAACATACCCAGGTGTTAGTGCCGTCCTAGATTTAAAAACACCGCCCATCAAACTCACTGCAGGGTTCTCACGTTGAAACCTCTCTAGCAGGTGCATCATTTTGAATTTATGTACTTCTCAAGTACCTATTTGCTTCTCTACTGTAGCTTGATACCTTAATAATTAGTATTATTCTAATGATTTGTAGCCATTTTAAAATCACATTCTATATTCCAATTACTGTAAAATTATATACTCATGCAAAAGTAGCCTAATTTTACTATACTAAATTCCGCTGCCCCACCCCCAAGGAGCACAAAAGTAGTTAACATGCTGAGTTGGCTTATTCCTCCTGAAAGTAACTTAAGCTTCATTGGAAATATGTGGACTTTTTCTGTATGTAAGTTCCAATATGTTCATTCCAGTCTGTGGTTGAGACCAAAGCCCTAGACCTGATACTATGCCCTTGCATTTAAAAGTTTCTCTTGTGGTGATGGTGAAAATGAGGTTTATACAAAGCATGTTCAATAACTATTTATCAGTTTTGTAACCAGAAACTTATATTTGTTTATATAAAGGAAGCCAGCTAGAGACATTTAATCACAAGCCAGATAACAAGTTATATTTATTATTAAAATAAATAAGTCATAAACTAAATAACAGCATTCCAATTATGCAATAAGGATACTTTAATTGGTTAGAGGAATTCACTATTAAACTAAAATTTAGTTGAGAATATCATGTAATCTAATCTCTCCTGATTAATGCCATTATTACAGTAGAAAAAGTTGCTCCATTTCAATTGCCTGAATCACAGCAAAATAGAAAAATTCCCTCAGAGTGATAAATCTGATTGCTCTTTTGTTTATCTTTGTCAGTGGAAAGGTATTTAATACATATTAGCTCATATTCTCTCTCATTATAATAATGTATTTTCTTCTTAAATCACTTATATTAATAAAGTTAAAAACCCCTTCCAACTTGTGATTAATCTAAGAATTCATGGGTAGCTCAAAGACTATACATTACCTTACCTTAATGTTAACTGAGAAAGTAGATGTTTACACTGATTTCCTAATGTTAAAGCACAAGCTATAATTGCAGCAATAAACCCAGAATCTCTCTGTATTCATTTCTCCATCAAAAATGTTACCATTTAGTTTTCTTTATTTGTAGTGAGGAGTGAGTTTCCATGTGAGGATACTCATTGATATTTAATACCTTATGGAAATATATTTGTTTATGGTGATCCTGAATTTTTATATTCATTGTTGCAAAATGTTTACCTGTTTATTCATGAGATATTATTTGTTTCCACATTGGAGATGTCAGAAATTCTCCCAATTAGACATAATCATAAATAACTACCTTGATTTCACAATTATCTCATTTGTTCTGAGTGGTAGCAAGGGGCAGGAGTTAAAATCCTTTATACATTACTGTAAGCCTAAAGTGTGTAGATTTCCTAAAGAAATTTGATAGGAATTCATCCTATTTTCCATCTTTCTAGAAAAAGATGAGATTGCTCTGATAAATGATAAATTGCCTCAAATTCAGATCTATAAGAATCATTTGACATTTTATCCACAAAGAAAATGCCATTAACATTAAAAACACCTCAGCTGTTTTCCTTAAGATATTTCATATAGTATTTGTCATTAAAGAATGTCATTACAACATTTCAAAATTGACTGTTAAGTTTTCTGGATTCCTCTTGATGAAACTCTTAGAAAGAAAAAAGGAATTAACATTTATTAGCTCTTAGAAAAGAAAGGAATCGTCATTTATTAGTATCTGCATTGTGCCAAGCAGGGTACTAGGGAATATTTGATCATGTGATGAGAGGCAGTTTTAAGATGGTTAAGATCAGTGTTGAGTTTGTTTCTTTCTTTGCATTTTTACTTGCTAGCGCGACCTTGACTTTTTTCATTAATTTCTCTATGCTTCACTTTTCTCTTTGGTGACATGAGTGAAGACGTTGAATCAACCTTAGCATTATTGTGAGGGATTAACTAAGTTAATGCATGTGAAGCACTTGCAGCACTGTCTGGCATAGAGTAGGCACTCAACGTTCGAAGCTGGCACTCTCCTCATCAGGTCTGATAAAGTGAGGTGCCATGTCCCCATTCTACTGGTGAGGAAACTATCATTTAGAGAGTTGAAGCAGTGCATCTGGAAACAACTCAGGAAGTTATACTTGAAAATAAAGCAAGAGCTTTGCTCACCAAATTATGTGATTTTTTTCCTCCATCCTAAACACACATTGAGAGCTTTCCCTCTGCATACTTACTGAAGAAAGAAAGAAATCTTGTGGCTGCTCATGTTCCTTAGATTAGATACAGTAATTACATCGGATAACTACAAAGGTGATTACTGCAGCACATAATCAAGTCTCTCTGTTTAGAGTATATGTTTGTGGATGTAACGGACTGAGGGGTGGGTACAGAGGACTTACTGTTTCAAAAGTTATGCATAAAGAAAAAGAAGGTTAACATGTCTTTAAATCAGAAAACCACAGAATACAGACTGAGGAAAACCATGAACCAATAGAAATACTGTGTAACCATACTGAAGATAATACTAAGATTCACAAAGGCAAAATTAAATAAACTAGATACTTGTTCCCATCATAAAACACTAGAGGCAATTAATGGGTTTTCTAAGAATCCAAGTAAAACACAGGGCTTAAGCTCTTAAGAGTGACTTTAGAAATCTTCTGCCAGCATCATGAAATTTACTGATGAATGCACACACAAGACCTTAAGGACATCAGGGAACCCTTTTAGATTTGTTTTTAAAAATGGGGCTGTCCATTTCACTTATTTTTTTAACAAGCTTTACCTCTGCACTAGAGACATGTGGGCATACCTTATGTGTGATGTGCTCTAGCACCTATTGGTAAATGATAGGAAAATTGAAGAACCTCTGAAGTAAGTAGAATATTTTGGGGAGGGGGGCAAGTTCACTTAATTACTTCAAAACTTACAAAGGTTTTTTTAAAATGAAACTTACCTTTACATTATTTAAAATTTTTAAATCATGTTACTAGTTATTACTTTATTATATTCTCACTAAAATCTTGTGGAATAATTTGGCAATCACTAAAACCTGTATTTTACAGTCAAGGTATCTAGAGTTCAGAGGAGTTACTTTCATTGGGTCAAACAGAACAGAGCAGGCTTGGAACTAATAAAAATGGCTAGCATTTACTCAACACAATTGTAAATAGTGTAGGTCCATTTATTATTTAATCTTCACAAAAACAGAAGAAATGGGAATTATTAATATATCCATTTCACAGATGAGGTGACTGAGTATCTTAAGGTTAAATATCTTACCCAAGATCACAGCTAACAAATGGCAGAGATGGAATTCAAGCCCAGACAAACCGATGTAAGTTCCTGCACATTTACTTTCCTGACCACACTGCCTTTCTGAATGCGATAAAAATAATAAAATGTGTGGTTCCTGACTTCATGTTATTTAGAATATTTTACAAAAGTAGTGAAAGTATAAACAAGCTATCACAGGCATGAATTCTGGTTTCTTTGGAAGGAAATGAATGTTACATTTGGAATGTATATTATTTCAGTACGCCTGAGTTTGTCTAGTTCTTACAGTCTTGCTTTATAGGGCCTAGAGGCAGAAAATAGTCTTCCCTTAGAGCATTTGAGGCTGAAGCTATTAGGTTTGTGGTGTTGAAATAAATATGTCTGTTGTTTCTGTTCTAAGACTAACCCAGGCTAGGAATATAATAGGATTAGGAATTTAAATGTTCATAGGACTCCAACTATAATTTAAAGCCACACACTTCAGACTTCTCTACTACCAATTCTGCAAGTTCCCTCAGCGTTAACTCCTTTGTCACCAAAGCCAGAAAGGCCCACTGGGCATGCCCAGTGATATGGTTAGAGCCTGCAAACAGTTTCACTCGCTCCAGGTTTTACCAACTGCAAAAGAAAGGAGGAGACAGAGGGAAGAGTTAAACAGGTACAGAACTTGGATGAGCACTGAAAGCTGGGGGATGACGCGATGCTGGCACGAAAACCACCTTTTTAGACAGACTTCAGTTTGGTCTGGTCTTCAACTTAGTTGCCGCGTTACCCTGGCGGGTCCTTCTCACATCCTTTTGGCACAGCCTAGACGCATCATGAAGGTACGAAGGGATCACTCAGGCCAGGGCCAAGTAAGGGGTGGGCAGCGGCGTTGGATCGGGGGAATGCCAGCGACTGTGGGAGCCTTGCCTGTCCCTGCATTCCTAGAAGAGCTGCAGCTTTTCAGGGGTTCCAAGCAGGAGAGCAAAGTGCACAAGTAAAAGCAGAGCTCATCTCAAATAGTGACTCCTTGGCTCCTTTCTTTTGGCTGCCGAGTCCTTCGCTGGAACCCTCTCAGGTAGCCTCGCCCAAATCAAGACTAAACCCCGGAAAAGTGAAATCTTCACACCGCTTTCCGTGGGTCTAGCAGGGGCTGGGCATGCTCAGTAGGCTATTCGGTTCTCTGGTGTTATCTCTCTCTCTCTCTCTCTCTCTCTCTCTCTCAGGGTGGGTGGTGACAAGTTACGAGCGCTTGCGGCAGGTCCCCGCCCCCAGGATCGGCCTCCCCCTGCAAGGGGATGAAGCCAACGTAGAAACACCTCGCTCCGCAGCATCCTGACCTGGAGCTGAAGGGGCTGCGCCCGCGGGCCGACCCCACCAGTGTCCCAGCTTGAGACCGCCTGCCGCTCTCCACGGTACTGCGGAGAGCTCAGCTCCGCCCTTCTCTTTCAGAAGGACAGCACCCCGCGTCACGTAACCCAGCCTTCTCGGGCTCCACCACCGCCTCCTCCTTCCCAGCTCTTTTCCTCTCCTCCTCCTCCTGCTCCCCTCCGTTGTCTGTTCTTCCTTCCCGCACTCCCGGAGATAGACGCTCAAGCCTGACGCCTCTGAAAAGGCAGCGACAGTCGCCTTATCCACAGACCTCAGGAAATTCGTTTTGACCGATGCATGCTTCAGGCTCAGGTCTCGAGCTAAGGGGAATAACTGGGCAGGTAAAGAAGCTCAATTTGGGTTGGGGGGAGGGGATGGGGCGAGGCAAGCTCAAGAAGGATATCTTTCCCCGTTGTAACTGAGCCAGGATCTGCTACAAATGCACAAGGAAGGATGGGTGGTGGGAGGGTGGAGGAGTATAGATCCTGGTTGTTTTGCATGCAGCTTTTTAAATAGGTGGCAAAGAGGATGAGATGGTGGAACGGGGTAGTAACTTAAAGGCTGAATGCAGTGATTTATTAGCAAAAGAAAGAAAACAGGCAAGTTAGAAACCAAAGCAATAAAATATATCTGCTATCTACATCTTTCTTTCTCTTCCCCATCAGCCGCATGCTGTGCCTATCCTTAATTTCTGTAGTCGACTCCAGGCTCCAAGAAACTGCACTGGTATTAGACATGGAGCTTAGAGACTGGGCGGGAAAGCCAGGGAGAATTTTGGGTGTGAATTGGTATTGATGGACTTTGCAAAAGCCAGGGGGAAAATGATAGGCACTTCTAAAAATTGTTTCAAAATTTTCAGGTTCTATATGATGGTGTATATTGAAGGGTGCATAGAAAGGTGTGTGTGTGTGTGCATGTGTATATGTGTGTGAGACACTAAAAACATATTAAAATAAATGCAACTGCAGCTGATCAGCATACTGTATTGATCCTTCCAGTGGCTTGGGAATGAATTTGATTCTAGAAATGAAAGAAAAGATTAATGAGGCTGTTAGTATGCTTTTGAATTAGAGCGCTTCTTTCTTTGGCTGCAGTAAGGTTGTTTTTCAGATTCTCTCATTTCATCCTCTAATTTGTGAACTTGCAAGGTTTTTTCCAGCACCTAGAGAGAATCCTCTTTCTCCATATAAATACAGATACTCTCTCACACACAACAATGAGCTTCCTCTAAGAACTGGGAGAGTCAGTCGACCTCCCTTGTGGTTAAGAATACATATGTGTGGTTTTCCCCCCTTCTCCATTCCTTAAAAAAACTCAAGGTATGCATCCCTAGAGGAGTGCAGAAGAGAGGTGAAGAAATTCTTTGTGATCTGTGTAATATTAATTAATGAAATAATCGGCTCCAACTGAGTCTCACATAAAAAATGGTTTTCTAACCCATGAGCTTGTGAATGGTTACAAAGCACGATTATTGAAATTCCGGAATTATTTCGTAAATGATTAAACATTTGGCAGATTCTCGAGTCCACTAAAAATGAGAATGTATTGAAGAATATGCTATTTTAGAATGATTTTTAAGAGCACCTTACATTGAGCTCAGCGCAGGAGTAGACAAGATGTGGCTGGTGACTGCTGATGGTGTGGGATGTCTCAGCCATAATAAATAAGCAACTGAGAGTTTTATTTCCTTTTGCTAGTGGGCAGTCTGTGCGTGCGCGCGTGTGTATGTGTGTGTGTGCGTGCGTGCGTGTGTGTTGTGTTTGTGTTGGAAGAGAGAGAACCAGTCATCAATTTCATCTGGGGAGGAACTTGAAGTGGGATCCCCTAGCTTGGTGGCTCTCAGCTGACACCTGTAGGGATTGCTCTGTACTGAAGAGAAATGCTCTCAGCTCTCTCCATGGAGGAGCAGCAGCACAATGCAGTGCCATAAATTACTGCTAGTTTCAGCTTGTAGGGGAATAAAGTGTTAATTGGATAGGGAACTTCTGTGTCCAGGCAATAAATTGTTTGTCTGTGGGGCGAGGGGGAGACATGTGTTTGCTCAACATGACCAAGATTATGCCTTTGTGATTTTTTATGGTCAAAATGTGAGAGTAATATTGTGTGGTTAAAAATGACTTTTAAACAACTATTTATGATTTCCGTACCATTTCAAGAAACTGTCAGATTAAAGTTGATTTAATGGTATAGTGAGTGATTCAAATATATGATTTTAAATTCTAGCATCTTAGAGCAATATCAACTAAAGTAACACACATGCCAACTGCTCTTCTGACCACACAGATTCTGCGAGCTGACAGCCAGATGAATACTTGAAGAGGAGTTAAGATCCCTCACTGATAGACAAATTATTAAATACTTTACACATCGATAGAGGAGCTAATAATATGGCAATTGAGACATAAATGCTGTTAAAAATAGAAAACATCCAGTTATATGTTTTCTCCTCTAATAAATTATTCCTTTAATAAAAAGGAGGAAACTACTTGTTTGAAATTTTAAAAAGACTCCCAAGAAACTACCAATATTTCTTCTCTCTTTGAGAAAAATAAAATGGTAGGAATGATATACAAATTGAAGCGGACAGTTTCCAGGGGACAGTTTGATCTGCTTTGCCTGTTGTGAAATCAGCTATTAACTGAGATTTGAATAGGTTGCATTTTTATTATCCATGTAACTAGTACACAATATAAACAGAAGTTCTTAAAAGAACCTTTTTTCCCTTTCTTCATATATTTTAAAAACTGAGCTTTCTCAGAAAAAGTAAAAGCTAACCATAACCAAATCTCTATGGAAACCCAAGAGGGTTACCTATTAACAGTTATCGTTATCATAAACTACAAGAGTGTAATGGGTGACTGTAAGAGTGTGATATTAACTATTGGGACAAGGTAGGTCTTACTGATAGATCAGGACAAACAAGCTCCTTCCAACAAGGTTAACTCTGGCTTACAGCAATACTTGCATACCTGGTTTTTGAGCTGAATAATGATTTACATGATACTATGAATGACCTTAGAACTTTATTTTAATTCTCTGCAGATTTCTGGGTCCTTATTAAAGACAAAATAAAACCAAAATGCATCATCAACACACAACTGATTGATATCCTGACATTCTAGCTTGGCCTTGCAGAGGTGGAGAGAAAAGAAGAGCTGTTGTGATTTCCACATCTAACAGCTTCTGGCTATTTCACAGCTTTTGGGTTTGAACCCTACTCTTTGGGAGGGAAAAAGAGAAGGAAAATCCAGCCTGTGAGGTCATGCCCAAGGAATTCTTTGACTACAGTGGTGCTGGAAGTCCATGACATGCCAGAAGAAGCAGGCCTTTGAAACTATACTGGGGTGGATGAGCGGTGCTCTAAAGTCCAAGGAATCACTTTCTCCCTTCTGGTTTGGGACCTCACGTCTGGAGAAGACATTCACAAGCATCCAAAGATTCTGGGTCACTGGTGGCTCCTTGTACTTCCCCGAGAAGTGTTTACTTCTTACCTGACTCTAACTGCTTCCCTTTTGCCTGGTACCCCTGATGGTACTTGGCAGATGATGATTATTTGAGGAGTGAAGCATCTGTTGACCTCACTGATGCCGTTGAACTAGTTCATTGGACTTAGATGGATGAGTGATCTCCCTTGACTTTCTGTTGACGCCTTTTCCAGAACGTTGCTTCCAAAGTGTATCCTCCCTTTGGCCTGGAAGTTTTGCGGCTGCCCTGTACCACTGGGGTCTGCGTGTTCCAGTTGGAAGGGGACTATAGGGAGAGAGGGAGGGGCTGCTGGAAGAGGAAGAAGAAAAAAAGAACTAGATAGAGGAGGGTGCCACCCTCCCACTCCTGCCCATCCCCCTATCCTCCTTACTCCCAGACCCTCATTTCTGCATCACGGTGTCCAGGACGACTTTGACCCTGTCGGCCCCGGCACCCCCCCGCCGCACCCCAGCCCCGAGCATGGGGACGGCGCTCCTCCAGCGCGGGGGCTGCTTTCTCCTGTGCCTCTCGCTGCTGCTCCTGGGCTGCTGGGCGGAGCTGGGCAGCGGGCTAGAGTTCCCGGGCGCAGAGGGCCAGTGGACACGGTTCCCCAAGTGGAACGCGTGCTGCGAGAGCGAAATGAGCTTCCAGCTGAAGACGCGCAGCGCCCGCGGCCTCGTGCTCTACTTCGACGACGAGGGCTTCTGCGACTTCCTGGAGCTCATCCTGACGCGGGGCGGCCGCCTGCAGCTCAGCTTCTCCATCTTCTGCGCCGAGCCCGCCACGCTCCTGGCCGACACGCCGGTCAACGACGGCGCCTGGCACAGCGTGCTCATCCGTCGTCAGTTCCGCAACACCACGCTTTTCATCGACCAGGTGGAGGCCAAGTGGGTGGAGGTCAAGTCCAAGCGGAGGGACATGACGGTGTTCAGCGGCCTCTTCGTCGGGGGGCTGCCCCCGGAACTGCGCGCCGCGGCGCTCAAGCTCACGTTGGCCTCGGTGAGGGAGCGAGAGCCATTCAAAGGGTGGATTCGGGACGTGAGGGTCAATTCCACCCTGGCCCTGCCTGTGGACAGCGGTGAGGTGAAACTGGATGACGAGCCACCCAACAGTGGTGGTGGGAGCCCCTGCGAGGCGGGCGAGGAGGGCGAGGGCGGGGTGTGCCTCAACGGAGGCGTGTGCTCTGTCGTGGACGACCAGGCGGTGTGCGACTGCTCACGAACCGGCTTCCACGGGAAGGACTGCAGCCAAGGTAAGGCCCAACGCCTGACCCACCCCACCAGGGCTTCGGCCTGGATAGGGCGCGGGGAGGCAGAGGGAGGTAGGCGGGCCGGGGCTGGTGCATGGGGTCTCTCTTCTCTGGACAGCGTTGCAGTTAGTTTCCAGGTGAACACCTGTTTGTGGCCTCTCTGCCTCATCACCTGCCACAGCTCCTCCTTTGGCATCCTCTTAATGGATGAGCAGCCATGTTTTCAGGTTCACTTTCCTCCTGGGAGCTCTTTCTACCAGCCCTATGTCCGACCACGTGGCCAGTAGGATGACCTGCCCTCCTCGTCCCTTGGAGGATGCTCCCTATATTCATTGTGCCATGGCCCCTCTGAGTAACCGCTGTGTTTTCCTCTGCCACCTTTAAGTTCGTAATGCACGTATTTTCCCCGTTAGATGCAAACAAGTATCTAGATTGAAGATTGGACACACATTTGCTGAAGAATGAAGTGTAGCACAGGTGCTCCATGGTTGAGAAGCCCTACGTAGTTACTTTTGGTAAAGGAAAAGGGAGACAGGATTCACGGGCACTGCTGTGCCTTTTACACATAAAGTGTGAAGTCTTGCCTCCTGGTTGTGGAAAAACAGGGGAGAAGGCGTGTGAAGATACTCTTGATTGGAAGGAGGGCTCCTGGAATTAGTGTTAATTTCTAGGTGATGACCAAGGCCAACATTTGTCAATTTGCGTAAAATTATGTGATTTCTGTGGTTTCTTAAGTGGGAGACGGGCTGGCTAATGTTTGGAAATGTTGGAGATCAAATAGCATTTCTCAATTAGCAGATGTTTTGGGAAGATACATAGTAGAGAAATTTAGATGTTTCTGGACTGGGAAGCTAATACAGGGGATGCATATGAAGGATTCAGGAGATTTTCTGAGGATATTCAGCTAATATTTACGTGAGTAGGGGAGGCCACGTTGTAATTTCTGTTGTTCCTAGGGATTGAAACAGTGTTGAATTTAAAATAAAATTAGATCCAAGTTCTATTTTCTTCCCTTTATAAACACAATTCAGTCATTAATGTGTTCTTTCCAATGTTGCTATGTGACAATGATGAAGGAAAAATATATTGTATAAATACAGAAAAGCTTATGAACAGAAAGTGAGTGATATGAAAACAATGAAACATGGATGTATCTGTGTCTGAGCAGGAGAGAAGATATCAGGGTTTAAAGCAGATAGCTTATGGGTCAAATCAAAGCAATCAGCACATGGGTAAATGGTATTTATGGCTGAAATTTAGTAAGAGGTGAATTATTAAATCTGATTTTGAAAGCTGTAGGGACTAAGCTCTATATGTGCCTCTATATTATTGCATAATGTCTTCTGGGGTTTTTTTGCTGACACTGCTAAGGGGAACTAGCCCTTGTAAATCTTATTAGACTTGGCAGTTCTCTCTCACCTGACTTTAAGAGAAATGAAGGCTTGATACAATTTGTGCTTGTTTAAACAGCAAAGGGAGGATAGGAAGAAAAAAAGCTGGCCATTAGGAAAGTACATGGGTTGATGAAAAAAGTACAAAGTTATTTTCCTGCTCGGTCTTATTGAGGGCTTTTGTTTTCACTATGTTTTTGCTCAAGTCATTATAGATGACTGTGTATTCCATGGCTTATACTACACTTCAGCTTGACTAGAAAATTTCCATGGATTTAGCCTTAGGCTTTGTAGTTATGTTTAAAATAAATAAAACAGTATGTGTTTCCCTCTACCAAATCTAACTCAATTGTAAGTCATGAATAAGATAGCTACATGTGATGATTTGCAATGGTATAATTTGAAGTTGCATATCCCTACACTGATTAATAGAAATGAATTAAAAATGAACATTATTTTGTGGCAAAAATTGCTCTAAGTACTCCAATGCCACTTTAAAATACAGAGAAGGCAATTTAATGAAGGACACATGAGGTATGACTTCCTTCCTTAATTTAGGAAACAAATAAGACACAGCTTCTTCTCTGTGCGAGGGTGTTTTAAATGAAAATTTTAATTTTTCCCTATATTTTTAGTGTAGGGGTTCAGGTATCAAGCATAATCAGGAATAGTTACGAGTGGAGAAAGCATGGCAACAGTAATATGTTGACGATAAGCAGAATTAGATGTCTCTGAAATGCGTTTTATTTTGCAAGTGGATAGCTTTTTCCAGAAGATGAAGAATTTGGAATTACCAAGCTGCATAAATGAACAGTATAGTACCTGATGTATAAGGTAATTCAACCCAGAAAAGAAAGTCTGTCAGGATTGTTCTGGAGCATTGATTCCTTTTGAAAATTTGAGCTTAAACTGGAGTGCAAAGATCACCAGTAGTCATGAAAAGAAAACAAAAGACTGGATTCTTTTGATTATCACATAAATGGGAGATGGGAGTGATAAAGGCAGACTCTTTCTTCCTAAAAGGATTGGCTCCATTTCGATTATTTTCCCTGTCTCATGTATGTCAAGTGACTATTAAATAATTAATTGAGAATTAATGCGTCTCCCAACACCAATCATCTATTGATGGCTAGGGATAGATGATTTCTATTCAGATAAAGTATAAACAAAGCCCTGCTTCTAGCCAGTATTTACACTGATTGCCACATTCTTTTCTAAAAACGAATTTAAAAACAAATAAATCCACAGTCATTAGAGAATTTAGAAAAAAGTTAACAGCAAACATTAAATAAAATTTGAATGATGTCTGGTCTCAACTACAATTTTTTAATGTTGTAAAAATGTCTACTTATTTTAGTTGCCTTCATATTTAAACTACCATAAAACTACTAAAAAGACAGTAAGACTATTATTCTCTTCTCCCCTGAGCCCTGCCATGGCCTAGAATGTCTTGAAACAATTTATGCACCTGTGATTTTTTAGAATATTTTTTATTTAATGAAACCATTTCTATCCTTACTCTGTTTATTCAAGCCTAACAAATTTTATTTATTTATTTATGTAGTAACAGAAAGAGAACAAAAGAGAGGTTGTGTGTCATGAACAGGTCAGTGGCAGAGCCTGGGTAAGAGCACGCACACTTATTATTGAGCCCTGCGTTATCATGTCTGTTGAATAAGATTTTCAGTTTATTAGGGTAGATATTTTTTCAGGTTCAGGAAGTAATTAATAGGATATATAAATACACACACACACACACACACACACAGAACTAGCTTATGCATCACTATGTTCTTTGATTCCAAGAGTCAGCCTCAGAAGTAAGCTGTTCAAGAATGTCACCATTCCTAAATGATGGGTACTTATGGGGTACATAGCTTTTTCAGTGAATTTTGCTCATTAAAGTGCCCCAGGGCCATTATTATTTAATAAGTTTCAATTTAAGAGGACTAATAGTTTCCTACCAGCTTAAAAGAATTAGTGAATTTGGTGACTATCCAGTTTAAAAATGAAAATAAAAGACTGATCAATGAAAAATTACATTAAACTCATGATTGCCAGGTGCTGTTACTCATGATTGCCAGGTGCAGTTATTCATGATTGCCAGGTGCAGTTTTCATGCATTTCAGGGTCACTTATATGAAAATTTCATGCTGGACTCTGAGTGTCTATTTTATTTACATTCCCTGTTTAAATGGCCATAAACACATATAGCTTGTGATGGTTTATTGCTTAATATTACTAAACATGGCAGTGTGATAGATGCCATTTAATAAAGCATCTGCTTTCTATGACTTTGTTAATATGACTAGATAGACAACCATATTCACTCATTGTTTTACTCCTTCATTTCTTTATTCAACAAATATTGAGGGCTTTGTATGCATGTGAGTACCACACTTAGGCAGTAAAATGGTAAACTCTCAGAAATAGTTCCTTCCTTCACAGACCTTGCATTCCAGTGAATAGGCCCAATAATTTACAAAAAATAAATAAATGGACATTTAAATTGGTAATATGTATTTTGGAGGACTGGTGCATAGTACTGTGACAAATTAAAATAGTGTGACCTGACCTAATCAAAGTAGGTTTTCCTGAAGAGTAATGATTAAACTAAAATCTGAGGGAAAAGAAGGAATTCACTAGGTCAAGGGAGAGGAGAAATATAAAGTACAGAATTCTGGTACAGGAGATGGCATGGCACTGTCAAGCAACTGAGAGAAGTTCTGTGAGTACGGAGCTCTGAGAGAAAGGAGGGGGACCAGATCATGCAGGGCCTTCCAGACCTTTGCAGGGATTTTAATCTGCCTTGTGAGAGTGGTAGCAAAACAATGGAAGGAGTTTAGTGTGGAAGGTGAGGAGGACAATGTTGCTATTAAATTTGTATTTCAAAAATGTCACTCTGGCTACAGTGTCAGAACAGATTGATAGGGGGCCAGAGGAAAAAGAGAAAACATTATTTTCTGTTTGTCAGTCAACAATATTTGTTAAGCACCCACTGTAAGCTGTAGAGAGAGTTAGGGCACATAGAGATAAACAAGATTCTTTCTCTTAGGAAGTCAGAATCTTTGTGAGTTTACTTGTGTATAGGAATCTTAGGTCATTCATTGTTTGAAACAGTTTGGTTCTACCTATAAAAAGCATTATCAGAACCCTTAGTGTGATTTGTCATGTGGTTTCTCTCGGATATACCCATTGAATCCATGGGCTCCTGGAGCCCATTGGTAATAATCATACTTCATTATGTCCTGAAGTAGCTTGCTAAACAAGTCTTCCTTGTGACAATATATATTAGTTGGTTGGTTCTTGGCTTTTAATATTTTAACTGCTACAATAAAGAAAAATATCATGTAGGTACTTATAATCTTGGGCAGGTTAAAAAAACATGTAAGCATTTACTATATAGGTAGGTACCAGACAAAAATGTTAATAGATTTTACCAGAGTTTTTGTTTGAAGTCTACTATTGTAGGAGAAGATGCATCATCTGTGATGAAAAAGATTGGAATGGAATGCAGAAATTCATCAATAATTTTGATCTAGATAAAATGTTCTGGGAAGCTCTTAAAGTATGACAATGAAAGACATCTATATGGTCTAGCAAAAAAGAAAA